ATGGTTCCAGATAGCCACACGGCACGAATAAGGTCAGTTAAATATGTTCTTAGGAAAGTACAGCGTTTAAAACATATAATAGATAGCTGATCAAGGGGACATGGAGAGCCAGATGCCTTCGTTCTGCGTATTATATTCGTGACTTGTTGATACGATGGGGGGTCAAGGTCAAATTGAACTTCGGGGTCAGACAACGCAGGAATCCAGCTAGGAATATTGAACAATTTGTTTGGATGAATTGCAGCAAGGGTCTTAGTGAAGTGGGATAGGCATTGCGTCATGTTGAAAGATGGTAATATAGTGTCTTTCTTCCTTAGAATATTCTTGACATAACCCCAGAAATTTTTCCTGATATATTTGTCATGGTTAAGTGACTGGCTGCTGTCTAGACTTGACTCATTGTTATTGTTTGAGCGAAGCTTATCACGCAATATATGCGACACATATTTAATTTCGTCTAGTTCACCATTCGTTGATTTAAGGGTTTTCAGAGCTTTTTTCAAATCCTTGATTTCATAGTCCTTATATTTATTTAGTAGCGAATTGTCAGGCACTGATTCGCTATAACCAAAGTTTTGGGCGAAGTAATCGTATATGATGTCATTTAATAGTTTTATGTTGGAATTTAAATCTTGTGATGTGATTGGATCATTGGACTTAAGAGCGAATTTGAAATGTTCGTTGGCCGTTGACCATTCGGAATTGCTTTTAGGGAGTTTAATACCTTTTCTTAAATTCGCAATATCTTCCTTTTCAACCGTAGGAGTTTCGTTGATTGTCGATTGGTCCATTTCAGGAATATTTTCCGTGTCAGAATTGTTTTGTTCCTCTAGGTCTGAACGGAATTCACTGTCTAGACCTTGAATAATTCTACAACTGCGTTGATGCATCTTTAATCCTCGCGCTCCTTTACATACTTTACCACAGCAACACTTGATTACGGTTCGACTTGACACGACGACATTAGGAGAATTCAATAATAATAATAATAATAATAATAATAATAATAATAGTAATAATAATAATAATAAAAATAATAATAATAATAATAATAATAATAATAATAATAATAATAATAATAATAATAATAATAATAATAATAATAATAATAATAAAAATAATAATAATAATAATAATAATAAAAATAATAATATTAATAATAATAATAATAATAATAATAATAACAAAAATAATAATAATAATAATAATAATAATAATATTTCATGATGTTTGACAAATTTGCATTGATTCTGTCATTGCCCATTGCCATTGGTATAGCATATAGGATTTATGTCAATCTGCTTGATTCAAAATATTTACATGTTGTTTTGTTATTTGTGCTCGCTCTAATGCATGCCTTCATATTACATGCTTAAATTATAACTCTGTATGACTGCACATGTCTTTTATGACCTTATACCAAAGCATTGACAAAGTTATTTTAGTATAATTAACATATAGTTGTAATTATATAGCGCAAGGGAAGTCATCCACATGTTATACTTTGACTTTGTTGAATTATTGTAAAAGATAAAACCGATATCGGTTTTAACTAAAAGGAGCAATAATAGACAATTCGCGACAGAAAGCAATTAAACATACACGTTCTGGGTTAGTTCATTATTTAATATACACAAGAAACAGTAGAGGGCCAACGATAAAGTGTTTATAAAGATACTTCTTCACCCATCAATAATTTTAGTGATAATTATTGGGCTTTGCATTGCAAAATTTATAATGACAACAATAGAGTTTGACATACTGCTAAAAAGGAACTTTCAAAATCATTGACGAGATAGATTCCTGCTGTGATGCTTTCTCTACTCTTTCAGTTACCTGGCTTTATTACAGTTCGACCCTATTTACCACCTAAACTATAAAGGCTGCTTAAACTACTTTTTGTTTTAACTTAATATAAACTTGCTATTTTTAGTCAATTAATAAGTGCTCAATCATGCCAACCCTTGCTACCCCTACTGAGTATAGCACGTGTCACGACTCACGTGACCACACCTTACCAGGGTCTCTCTGGATTGAATTTCAGGGAAATCATTCATTAGATCTGCGCCACAATTGACATTGTTATTGTTATGTTAAAGTTACAGTACGTCACACATAAAATGACGTATTCTGATTAGCATTATTAATATGTTAAAGTTACAGGAAGTACGTCACATCAGGCAGTGACGTATTTTGATTGACACTCGAACAGTGTTGACAATATAAATATATTAAACCCCGCTCGGCGCTTTCGACAGAAAGCAATTAAACATACACGTTCTGGGTTAGTTCATTATTTAATATACACAAGAAACAGTAGAGGGCCAACGATAAAGTGTTTATAAAGATACTTCTTCACTCCAATAATTTTAGTGATAATTATTGGCATTTGCATTGCAAAATTTATAATGACAACAATAGAGTTTGACATACTGCTAAAAAGGAACTTTCAAAATCATTGACGAGATAGATTCCTGCTGTGATGCTTTCTCTACTCTTTCAGTTACCTGGCTTTATTACAGTTCGACCCTATTTATCACCTAAACTATAAAGGCTGCTTAAACTACTTTTTGTTTTAACTTAATATAAACTTGCTATTTTTAGTCAATTAATAAGTGCTCAATCATGCCAACCCTTGCCACCCCTACTGAGTATAGCACGTGTCACGACTCACGTGACCACACCTTACCAGGGTCTCTCTGGATTGAATTTCAGGGAAATCATTCATTAGATCTGCGCCACAATTGACATTGTTATTGTTATGTTAAAGTTACAGTACGTAACACATACAATGACGTATTCTGATTAGTATTATTAATATGTTAAAGTTACAGGAAATACGTCACATCAGGCAGTGAGGTATTTTGATTGACACTCGAACAGTGTTGACAATATAAATATATAAAACCCCGCTCGGCGCTTTCGACAGAAAGCAATTAAACATACACGTTCTGGGTTAGTTCATTATTTAATATACACAAGAAACAGTAGAGGGCCAACGATAAAGTGTTTATAAAGATACTTCTTCACTCCAATAATTTTAGTGATAATTATTGGCATTTGCATTGCAAAATTTATAATGACAACAATAGAGTTTGACATACTGCTAAAAAGGAACTTTCAAAATCATTGACGAGATAGATTCCTGCTGTGATTCTTTCTCTACTCTTTCAGTTACCTATTTATCACCTGAACTATAAAGGCTGCTTAAACTACTTTTTGTTTTAACTTAATATAAACTTGCTATTTTTAGTCAATTAATAAGTGCTCAATCATGCCACCCCTTGTTACCCCTACTGAGTATATATAGCAAGTGGTCACGACTCACGTGACCACACCTTACCAGGGTCTCTCTGGATTGAATTTCAGGGAAATAATTCATTAGATCTGCGCCACAATTGACATTGTTATTGTTATGTTAAAGTTACAGTACGTCACACATACAATGACGTATTCTGATTAGCATTATTAATATGTTAAAGTTACAGGAAGTACGTCACATCAGGCAGTGACGTATTTTGATTGACACTCGAACAGTGTTGACAATATAAATATATTAAACCCCGCTCGGCGCTTTCGACAGAAAGCAATTAAACATACACGTTCTGGGTTAGTTCATTATTTAATATACACAAGAAACAGTAGAGGGCCAACGATAAAGTGTTTATAAAGATACTTCTTCACTCCAATAATTTTAGTGATAATTATTGGCATTTGCATTGCAAAATTTATAATGACAACAATAGAGTTTGACATACTGCTAAAAAGGAACTTTCAAAATCATTGACGAGATAGATTCCTGCTGTGATTCTTTCTCTACTCTTTCAGTTACCTATTTATCACCTGAACTATAAAGGCTGCTTAAACTACTTTTTGTTTTAACTTAATATAAACTTGCTATTTTTAGTCAATTAATAAGTGCTCAATCATGCCACCCCTTGTTACCCCTACTGAGTATATATAGCAAGTGGTCACGACTCACGTGACCACACCTTACCAGGGTCTCTCTGGATTGAATTTCAGGGAAATAATTCATTAGATCTGCGCCACAATTGACATTGTTATTGTTATGTTAAAGTTACAGTACGTCACACATACAATGACGTATTCTGATTAGCATTATTAATATGTTAAAGTTACAGGAAGTACGTCACATCAGGCAGTGACGTATTTTGATTGACACTCGAACAGTGTTGACAATATAAATATATTAAACCCCGCTCGGCGCTTGCGAACATCTGTGATTTCGTGTTGTATAATATATCCTTTATATCGTGTTGTTCGTCTTGAATTTTCTCTTATTTACTGGCGTGGTGACAGCGGTCCATTACTGAGAATTTCAATATAGTTCTCAAAGAGCTCCGATAAAGTGGAATAGCTCAACAAATACAATCAAAGTCGATACGAAATTACTCTCAGACAACAATTCCAAGACGAAGCACCTTGCATCTGTAGCTGTTAATACGACACATATTTACGAACAAGATATGGCTACAAGTCAAGCTCCCAAACAGTGGGCCCTGACAAAGCAGGAAACTATCACTTCATACGAAACCTGGCGCCAAAATCTTCAATACACCCTTGCCTTAGACCACAACTTCGCTGTATATTTACTCGAAGACACAACATGGCTGCGAAAGACTTCTACGGCCCCACTACGTGGTTTCGAAAACGACGGCGAAGACGTTCCAGCAGCAAGCCGACGTACAGCCGCCCAAAAGCTAACTCACTTGGAGTTAATGCTCGGCCAAGTAGCCAATTATTGTCCCGTCATTGTACGAAACACAATCGTTAAGAACTCAACATTTATGCGGGCAATTTGGCAAGCAATTCGTACACATTATGGCTTTCTGTCCACCGGGGCACATTTTCTCGATTTTAATAACATTCGTTTAGAACCTGACGAGCGCCCCGAGGACTTATATCAGCGACTTCTGAGTTTTATCAATGACAATTTACTCACAGCTAATGGTAATATCCGACATCACGGCGAAGACGTTTCCACGGGCGAAGAATTAACACCCTCGCTTGAAAACATAATTGTATTGACATGGTTGCGTTTAATTCATGCAGATTTGCCCACTTTAGTTAAGCAACGTTACGGGACAGAACTCCGATCACAGACACTAGCCAGCCTCAAACCCGAAATATCTCAAGGTCTAGACGCCCTCCTCGACGAAATTCATTCTTCAAATGAGGCTAAAGTTCTACGCACAGCCTTTCGACGATCCTCACAACAGCGTGACAATCGTAGTGCG